GGAGACTATACTCTGTCCAGTTTATAAATTTACTTCCAGAGAATAATATGCAATGTCGAAAAACCCTAAATTGTAATAAATACGTGGGGAATTCTCACGACTCACCAGATGAATGATGTATCCCAAACAATTACATTTCCCAAGCCAGTAATTGGACAGAAGACTGAAGGGAATGAATTGAAATTAAATAAATTTTCACTCATGATTTGCTTCCTTCCCCTAAAAATCATTCTTTTTTTGCTTGTAAAAGCAATACCTATTCCATGTAAAAAATTCATACAACACAAAAATTATAAAGAAGTAGAAATGTCTTTAATTTCACTCTCCTGATCTACAAAAAAGGAACAAAGTTATATTCTTTGAACATAAGAAAAAGTTAACAAACACAAAGCTTTATAAAAATGCAGTCAAATGATAATATTCTTTGTAACAACTTTTCATATGTTAAAATGGAGATCTATGTCATAATAAGTTACCTTTGAATATACTATTCCAACAGTATATTTGGAATATATATATATCAATTTCAGGAGTGGATATCCCTGGATTGGTGGCTCCTCACTTTTTATCAGTTCACAAGTGGTGCTGCTAATGCAGTGGCTGAATTGTGTGTCTTGTGATCAAGATGGCTCTGAGTGAGCACCACCTGGGTGTCCAGATTTCTCCCAATATAGAATTTTGATCATAATATCTTCTGGCACTTGGGCAGGTTGGCCAGAACTCAGAAATGGTTTTTCTTGTACATCTCAATATATTTCCGGTATCAACTTGGTTGAAAAGAGGAATTTTAGATTTGCAATGAAAAAAAGAAAAAGCCAATTGAGCTTTTCTTTTAACCTCAAAAATGGCATGGTTAGAATTTGAGAAGGGTTAGCTCTTATTTTTCTGAACCATTTTTTCCCATTTATGTATTTCACTTATCCCTTTGTGCAGAGAAAAATGTACTTTGGGAAACAGAACTATCTGGTTCCTGGAGAACATACTTGGAAAGCCCAATTCTGCCTGTCACAAGGTGATTGACAGGAAGATGGGAGGAGGTTGGGCTCATGTAGTTTGGGAGAAGAAGAGTGTAGCTTTGGAAGGGGACAGTGTCAGAATAGATCTGACACACTCACATGAGTGTGGTGCTCCTTTTGTTCACAGAGTATGTGCCCACAAGCCCTCTATTAAGGCTGGCATGAAATAGCTGGACATTTTTGTATGTGTCTATTGATATTTTACTTTCAGAAGTAATGCAGCTAAAATAGGTTTTTGATTTACAAGGTATAATGGACTGTCCTTTATGTGCAAGGATGGTCCTATTGAACATAATCATCAAGATATGTACCATCACTTGCTTTTATAGAACTAAAGAAAATGTGCACTGTTTTATGAAAATCTTTTCAATTCTTCTTATTGGTACTTATTTTCAAGATGGTAGGGTTGAAATGGTGTTTGGCTATTGACAGAGAAAGTTAACTAGTTTGCTCAGAAATTGCACATATGGCTCTGGGCTTCAGTATGATGCAACTCATGGATCACATATGATACTGTATGAGTCAGAACGGGCAAGGTTATAATGCTGTAACAATCACACCAAACAACAGAAGTTTATCTCTCACTAATCCAGTTGGCTGTGGGTTAGGGAGGCCTTCCAAGGCAGCTGTTTTTCCAGCTCCGCAGTCTCAGCTGCTTTATATTATGGCACTTCTGCATCAAGATGCGCTCCCATATTCACGACTCAGGCAAAGAGAGGGTTGGCCAGTCCATCACTGGAAGTTAAATACTTCCATTTGGAAGTGACACATGTCACTTTCACTCATTCCATTGGCCAAATCAGTAAGAAGGCCACCCCGAACTTCAGAGGGGTGGAACATGCAGTCTTGCCTTGTGGCTAGCAGTAGAGAAGAACTGGATATTAGGGAACAGTACTAACATCTACTCTTTCTATATTAACATACATATAGTATACACACACACACACTTCTATTTATTGCTTTGACTACCATGTTTCCCTGAAAATAAGACAGGGTCTTATATGTATTTTTCCTCAGGGGATGTGTTATTTTTCCCTCAAAACCTCAGCTTGCAACATGCACAGGATGGCTGGGACCTGACAAGGGGAGTCGAACTCGGTGGTGGGGCTGCCTACACCTTTTTGGTCACCTCTGGGATAGTAGCTGTCATGAAGGGGCAGATGAGAAGGGCTGCTCGTGTTCTTTACTGCTTCGCAGTGAAATTGATGGGTTATGCAGATACGCTGCGTAGCCACACCCATCACTAGGTCTTATTTTCAGGTAGGGCTTATATTGCACAAATGCTTAGAAATCCTGCTAGGGCTTATTTTGTGGGTAGGTCTTATTTTGGGGGAAACACGGTAGTGCTTAAGATACTATGGTTGATCAGTAATTGTCAAGTAATGAATAACGACTGTTGAGGTTAATAGACTGATATGCTATAAAGTTGGGGCTAGTGAACAAATTGACAACTGGGAAATATTACATGAACCTTTTCCTACGGTTATGCTTTGATTTCTATCAGAGAAGAATCTTTAGGTTATGATCCAATTCCATTGCACTTATAACTGGCAATGTCAACTAACATGAGGAAATAAAAATAGGCTACTGTTTGGAGGGCTAGAGAAATATAAAGCTGTTCCCTTGAACTGAGAGGCTTATACTGATGGTCCCATAAAAGTTCTTTTATGTTCCCAATTGGCAATTTTAATAACTCCTTTAGGAGTTTTCCATAGGTGCACCTATAGGAAATATAAACCTTATCGAGAAGACATAGCAAGGGAAATATGCTTTAAAAATCTGCTAACATTTTATAGCTGAGAAAGAAAATGCTTACAAAAATGTAACATGGAAGGGTACAATTTTTTAAGAAAGAAATTTACGAATTAATTTCCTGTAATCAAATAAAATCCTTGAGCAAATTGAAGTGTGTTGGGGCTAAAGCTAGGAGTACATGTTTATGATATATTAGTATAGCATGCATTGCTGGTGTTCATGAATTAGATTTTTTTACATTTTGAAGTGATCCAGCTATGAAAATATGTTCAATGACATGTAAATTGCCAGGAAATTAGAAAAAGGCTGTAGATGGAAGAAGAAGATAAAGGAACCCTCCAAGCTATCTGGATGCTCTTGTTTTTCATGGAACAAGGGTTAACAAAAAGAGGAAGAATATGCTGCTACACTCCCCAGGGGAGGGCGTCAGAATCTCCTTGTCAGGGAGGGGGCAATGAAGATTGCAGATGTTTTCTCAAAATCTCCTCTTCAGCATCTTTGCAACCAAAGAAAGCAAATCCTGTGGTTTAATGTGATATATTTGGTTCTGGGAGAGATCAGCATCTCCGAGCCTGATATCTGGGACAGGCTGAGGGGAAGAACTCAGATTAGGTTCAAACCTGGCTTCTCCACTTTCTAGCTGTGAGATCATGAGCAAGTCAGCTAAACTCTCTGTGTCTGTTTCCTCCTCAGTAAAATGAGATAATAATAGCACCTAGTGGGGGTCAGAGGAGCAAAGCACTTAGAAGTGCACAGTAAGCACTTTCTGTATGTGCTATTATGTTTTCTGTACCTGCGCCAGGTAGCCAGTGGCGCATCAAGGCAGCCAATTGCGTTTACAGAAGCTTCCTCTGGGAGCTTATCATGTGGATGTAATGAGGTGTCAGACTTACCCAGGTGACAAATAAAGCCCCAAGTCACTAGCAGAGTTGGAGTGCCGCTTTGCTGTTAAGGACTGGGCTGGGAATGAACTCATCATTCCGGGAAGGAGAGGGAAAACAAATCTGACTTAACGTTGTTGCACATTTACGAGCAAATTAGGCTCAGTAAATTACAGATAGATCTAATTATTTTAGATATGTTGTTATTGTTGTTGGGAGTTGAATTTTAAGTCAAAATTGTATCACCAAATAGCTGTTAAGTAGTTGAAATGTTAACTGAGGGAAACAGTTTTGGCACTCTAAGAAAAACCCTTGTAATTAATCTTCACTGGTAATCTCCTCAGGGTAACCATTACTAATTAGAAACATGTTTGGTCAACCCATCCAGATTCTAAGCCCAGCGATGGCAGGAGTTTGTATTTTTTTTTTTTTTTTTGTACCTTCATGACCCCAAGACCGAGTGGTACGCTTTGCATACGGCAAGTATGCAATCAATGTAGTTTTGTTACTACTCTGCATTGAGGGCTGCACATAAAATCATACACTTAAGGCAAACACTAGAACAGAGGGCTCTTCCTGGAGTGGAGCCTTTTCCAATCTCTTTTCCAATAGCGTGCTGTTGTTGAGACACAATCCAAGTGGAAAGAGTGAATTTGGTTCTGACAGCATGAGCCACAACATCTGGAGTCTGGCCCTCCACCCCGGGCCTTGACCTTCTCTTTCAGAAACAGTAGACAAACAGTGCTTGTAGAAAAATGGTTCAAACAGCAAAGGAGTGCAACTCTGTCAAATCTGCTAGGGCAGTGTCACCAGTGTTTTGCAGACAAGTTCATACTGAGTATCGTTCTCAGCATAAAGACATTTACATGTCTTTGGGTACAGATGACATAATTCTCAGCCCCCCATTCCTACCTCACCCCTCTCTGCTGACAACATGGTTCTATTAACCATGCGCCTCCCAACCCTCTTAGATGGCTGGCTTGCTTACAGGTATAATCTTATGTGATTAAAACTCTACGTTACTTTTTTTAATTGTGATGAAATATATCGCACATAACATAAAATTTACCATTTTTAACCAGTTTTAAGTGTACAGTTAAGTGGCATTGAGTACATGTGTTAGCTTTTAAAATCAAAGTGCTATTCACACTTTGGGGCATTTACTACTCATTGACACTTTTACCAAAGGAAAGCCTCGGACAGAAGAGCAGGGATGCCCTTATCATGCCATAGATTTTCTCAGCAGCAGCTTCTGTAAAATAATTTGGTGGAGTAGGTAGAAGAATTTATTGAGCAAAATGAAAATGTTGTGTTGGTAACAGCCATACTTCTTCTTTTCTCTCAACAGAACTGCTTAAACGTCATGCAGATCACAGTTCCCTAAGCTGAGTGACTCTGTGGAACCAACATAATTAGAAGCAGAACCATTGACCCTTAAGCTTGGTGGAAGATTCTGGAATACTCTTTTCTTGTGGTAATGAAAGCTGTTCAAAGACCATCTGACCTCTCTGTGACTCTGAGAGTGGAAACAGGGGAACGTCACCCTCCTTCTCACCTGGAAAGGGAACATTCAGTCCTTCTCCTCCCATCTGGTAAGATCTATCTGTCCTATAAGGCCCATTTCAAATACTCATGTCCAAAAAGTAGGGGAAAAGATGATGGCAGCAGTAAGAGACCAGGTGTTTAAGAAATTAAGGAGCCAAAGGAGGGAGGGGCCGGTGGGAGTCAAGTGGAAATCTTTAAATGCGCTCGTGTTTTAGTTTTAATTTCTGGATAGGAGAGTATATTTGATAATGGAAGTGGTAATTCTCTTCCATGTAGAACATGAAGTTTGTTGAGAAAAATGATAAGATCGATCCATGGAGAAATGAAGTTTGTTGAGAACAATTATGGAATCTATGTGTTGAAAAAGAGGTTGGTGGCCAGTTGGTCATTCTCCCACCTAGTGTGCTGTCCCTGGCAGGGAATCCAAACTCTTCTTGAACACCCATGGGGATGGGGAGCTCCCTCATGAGCTATTTCTCGAGATTATCTAACTCTCTTTTCTGTCTCCTGCACTCATCAAGCAACTCTGCTATGGGGAAGGATGCTATCTTAGTTTGCTGAGGCTGCTCTAGCAAAGTACTGCAGACCGGGTAGCTTAAATAGCAGAAATTTATATTCTCACGATTCTGGAGACTTGGTCATGTAAGATGAGAGTGGCAGGTGGTTGGCTTCCTCTGAGTCCTTGCCCTTGAATGGCTGCCCTCTCCTCACCTTCCACCATGGGACAATGCACAAAGAAGGCCGTCCCCAGATCCCAGCACCTTGATATTAGACTCCCCAGCCTCCAGAATTGTGAGAAATAAATTTCTTTTCTTTATGAATTACCCAGTCTGTGGTACTGGTATAGCAATACAAGCAGACCAAGGCAGGGCGGGTCCCTCTCTCTGTGCATAGTGGTGCAGCCACTCTGGCTGGGCCCAGCCGACGTGTGTCTGCATGCGTGATAACAAAAGCATGGGGCCCCCTCTACACTCTGCTACTTGACTTCTCTGCTTTCGGTTTACTCCCCAAGATAAATCCTATTTTACATTTACACTGCAGAACAGTGGCAGTGCATGTTCATGCCCATTGTGCAAGACAAGATTTTCATCTAAAATGACAACATAGCCTTTCTAGCAGCTGGGAGACCTGGGTCTTCACCAGTGCTTCATAGTATCATGGCACTAAGAGGAAAGGAGATCTTTGCAAGACACGCTGGAGTAAAACAAGACAGCTGCTGGGCACCCCACACAGCTCCCCCAAAGACTAAAGGGGCCAGAGTCTCAGAACATCTACAGGGTCTCTGTGGCTCGCTGATGCGCCTTGGTAGGGCTCCACCCAGGGCATCTGTTACGGCTTCGTTGGTCCTCAGCCCCCAGAATTCATGTTGAAATCCCAGCTCCCAGTACTTCAGAATGTGACCGTGTTTGGAGATAAGGTCTTTAAAGAAGTGATTAAATTACAATGAGGTCATTAAGGTGGGGTCTTAATCCAATATGGCCGGTGTCCTAATAAGAAGAGGAAGAGACACAGGGATGTACATGTGCAGAGAGGCAGAGAGGGAGCGAGAGAGGGTTGCACTCACTTTCACAGCAAACTCGCTGTCGTGATAATGGATCCATTCTCGAGATAGCAACATTAATGCACTCATGAGGGCTCAGCCCTCCTCACCTAATCAACCCTTAAAGGTCTCACCTTTCAACACTGTTGCGTTTTGGATTAAGTTTTCAACACATGACTTTAGGGGACACATTGGAACCACAGCACACCCCTACAACACGCCATGCCAGTGCTGCTCACGGTGTGCTCCATGGGCTGTTTGTGGCCGGTCCATGAGGACACAAGGAGATGGCACCAGAGTATAAATCTCCTACATCCCTGTGCCCACTGTGCAGTTGAGGAGACATTTTATTTTCTTGTAGCGACGCTTTCGTGATCAAGGCGGTAGTGTGTGACTTACGGTGTAACACAACCTCCAGACCAGGATCAGGCAATTCCAGGCTGGCCTTTGAGCATGGGTATCTGTGGGCAGAGAGCACCTATGTCCCTGTGACTTTGCATGAATGGAAGCTCCTGGTGGAGGAAGTGGTCTTGTTAGGAGGAAAGTTTTTAAAGCCCAGCAGCTGGTATTAGCCTGTTATTCCTCTGAGCTAACTCGGACCTGCTGGGGCAGCTTCTTTCTACGCTAACAAAAGTTGGAAGAAATGAGCCTCCAGGGTCGTTGACTTTGCCTCTCCTCATACACTACCCTGAGGCTTATTATCAATTTCCTCAGCACATGATAAGCATCCAATCCACCCTGCATGCACTGACAAATTGTGTTCTGGACCAGCAAGCCTTGAAGACCATGTACTGGTGTGTGGTGATATAGGAAACTACTGCCACCTTGTGAGCAGCTGGCCACCAACCCAGTCACTCTCTGACATCTTTCCATCAGCAAATACTTGACATGCAATATTTTCTCCTTTGCCCAATTTCTACTGGGTCTGATTCATATGACATTTTCCTTTGCCATATTTCAGTCATGAGCCTTGATGCTATCTTTGACACTGTCCTTGCCTCCTTTATCTTTTTAAAAATTATTAATATTTTAGGCACCCTTGTTCAGTTTGTGTGTGCAAGTAATAAGTAGTGTTCCCAATTCTTTTTTTCTATTTTCTCCCCAAGAATTGGTAGAAGCTGCTGCTAATATTTTCTGTCTTAATTGTTTTTTGACCATGGAATTGAGTGACATGGCTGCATTTGGATGACTCATCCCTCCTTTTCAGATTTTCACTTGATACCTTGCTTTTGTTCTGGTGTGAAAGCTGCCTTTGAAGTACATTTCCACCTGACTCTCCACTCTTCACCTACCATGCGTCCAATATTCAGCCATCAGAAACTGGTATCTGGGCAACCTACACTTTGACATTATTTATATAGCAAGTTGCTCATTTTTCATTGTTCTCTTTCTTCCCAAATTATTATCTCCAACCAGAAAGAAAAATTAAACTTGAAGATTTGTCCCAATTTGTGCAGGATTTCAAAGCCACTTGAGGTGCAGTCCATATTTCTTTGAGGAATGTGAGCTGAAAATTGAAGGAGAGTTGGTGTATCTCATCAACTAAGCATGCAGATGACGACAGCTGTGTGAAATTGAGAAAGTTATTTTCTCTCTTTGTCTTGCTTTCTTTGTCTATAAAACTAAAATAATGTATAATGAAACAAAACACACAGAAACAAACTTTTAATTATTTTGGGGGCATTTATTAAGCTGGCTTGATTCACTTCATATGTATGCACATTTCATTGTAGAGAATTTAAATTTAAAATTAGAAATAGCTTCTAGCAATAATAGCAAGTCCTTACGTAATGGTCACACTATGAGGACCTGTTTTAAGCTCCTTGCATTTATTTATTTATATCTCACACTATTCTATGAGGTAGGCACTATAATTTCCATCTTATGGATGGTTCAAAATATAGTGCTGATTATTCTTCTTGATCTTTGAATATCACACACCCAAGGATAAGGACATGGTCTTCCAGGACTGAGAATAAGGCATAAATAAACTTACACACTGCATTCTTACTTAAAGCTGTAGGAAATTATGTTGATGACCAACAGAAAGGCCACCAGTCATAGGAAACTTCACCTGTTATTTATGCAGTGGTTACAGGGTAGTTTCAGTTTCAGTTAATGATGTGGCTTGAGGTTCATGGATCAGACTGCCTAATCCCTGGAACCACAAGGGACACCTGTGAATCCACTGACTAATTCCTGAACTAAAAGCCCCCAGGCAAACAGATCATTTGTTGGTGGGCAGATCATTATACAATTTAACACATGAAATATATTCTAATGTAGAAAAAGCCTGATGTAGGGGGTATCCAAAAATGACATTAATTGCCATGAATACTTCATGAGATTAAAGTGTGAGACAGGACTCATATTGGATGGAATAATATTTAATAGAATTAAATAATTATGAAAAATTAAAATAATGACATGCTGATAACTCCCCAGTACTGAAATCCTTTTGTCAAAGGAATAGGAAAACCTTAATGGAAATATTAGAAAAGTATGTAACCAATATTGTAGGGAATAAACAATTAATGATGACCAATGTTTTATTCAACAGAGCCAAACAGGATTAAAATAATGATTTAAAATTGTTTCTCCTTAGAGAACTTACCTGATCATCAGACTTCCAGAGAATACTCTGAACAATACCTTGCTAATGTTCTTGTACAGATTTGTACATTTCTGAGTTTTTATACTTTTACCTATTCTGAGTATACAAAATATGTGTACAAATGGGTATATTTCTTTTGGTAGAATTAATAACATGGTAATTTTCATATTAGAAGGATGGTTATTATAATCTTGCAGGACCGGAATTCAGTTGCATTTAACTATGCACCTTGCTTTTAGGCAGAGATCAGGATATGTAGTTGGGGAGTGGGGAGGGTGTCATCAAGAGAAAGAACAGTTACTTTCTTAACTAAAATCTCCTTGTTAAATCCTGTTTTTGTTATCATATATAACTGAATACAGACATTCAACCCTTGTGTTTTTGAGTCCCTGGCTGTTGATTAACAGACTTTGGGTGAGGATTTTTCTGGGTGGCCCAGTTCTTTGCTGTTGACAGTCCGATGACACCAGCGACAATGGCAACCCAGACACCTGCAGCAACACCGTCACACGGTGTGGCTGATGAGAAACTTGTGGCGCCCTCCTGTGGACTGATGAACGCTGTCCCATAAGATGATGTAGGGACATTCTCAAAGGCGGTAGGCCGCCAAGATCAGGCCTCCCAGTGTGTTACCTCATTCTTGAGAAATTTCAGCAAGTTATTAAGCAATTTTATTTTTTTACAAGGAAAATTTCTATTTTCCATTCCTGTTTTACATATGTTTATTTGGAGACATAATTTTTCGTTTATGCTTATGTGTGCTGCCACAGTGCTTATGACAGTCTGAACTGAGCAACAGCCTGGAATGATAATGCACAAATCCATCCAATGAAACTTGGCTTCAAGGTCCTCAAAACATATCACTGACATTGGTTCCAAGTAAAGCAAATAGT